AAGGACTTGACTTCACTCGTCGGCAGACTTCGCATGCGCGAACATACTTGCGCACAAACTGATACTGGTGGGGCCAGTAAAAGTCTCGATTCACCGTGAGATATGTTTTCTCCCGGCCACGATGTCCTCTTATAGGAGCATCGTGATACTCGAACATGATTCGCAAACGCAGATCAGTATCATCGGGAATGACAACACGTGGTGTGTCACCAGTAACTGCTGTATAATACAGTAAACCGTTGCGAGTAGGGTATCGATCTGATGCAGATCGATACGCAGACGAAAATCGTTTCAACGATTCTCGAGATGGTTGTGAGAGATGTGCCAACAACTTCACAATCTCACCATCTTGAGCATACGCCCGCCGCACATCATCATGTAACGTTGAAGATGGTATGGTGGACGTCATAACCGCAACAGTGGCTGTCTCACTGTTGGGTTTCGCGACTGTTTCAAAGTCGGGACGACGTGAGAGTGCATCAGCGACGACATTAAGTCGTCCTGGTTTGTACTCTACGGTAAAGTTGTGTTCTGCAAAGAATGACAACCACCGCGCCATTCGTTGTGAAAGGTGCGGGCTGTTTACTGCCGTGCGTAACGACGCATGGTCAGTGTAAACACTGAAGGGTCTATCTCCTAATAGATAGACTCTGAACTTCGCGAGTGCATACTTCATGCCAAGGCGTTCCTTGTCATGCACTGGATAGTTCCGCTCAGCTGGTTGCAGCTGACGCGACTGATAGCAGACGACGCGTTCAACGCCTTCAAGATCGTACTGCATTAATGCACAGCCGATTGCGAAATCGCTGGCATCACAGACCACATGAAATGGCCTGTCCTGATCGGATTGCTAGGACTGGGGATTGTATCAAGCTCTGCTTGATACCATCAAAGGAGCGCTGACATTCAGCGTTCCATAACCACATCTCGTTCTTTCTCAACAAACGAGAGAGGTGTACAGTCATCTCGGCGTAATTGCGTGAATACTTGTGCAAATACGCCGCTAGCCCAAGGAATTTTCGAAGACCTTTGACATCAACCGGCACAGGCCAGTAGGTGATCGCCTTGATCGTTTCGGGATCAGGACGTACACCGTTCTTACCAACGATGCACCCAAGAAGTGGTATTCGCTTGCTGTAAATATACACTTCTTGAGGTTTGCATACAATTGATGCTTTCGCATGATTGTAAGAACCTGTCGGACGTGGTACCTGTGAACCTCAACATCCGACTTTCCATCCATAGCCCGACTATGAATGAATACGTCATCGAAATAACTCGGTGCGAATTCTCGTACTGGTCTCAACAGATGTGTATCACATCTGTTGAACGTGGCAGGGGCATTACTAGGCCCTTGTGGCATTACTAGCCATTCCCAGAGCATGCCGCTAGGCGTGCTCACTGCGGTATAGGGTATATCCCGTTCTCGCACAAGGATTTGATAGAAACTATCCATCAAATCCATGGACAAAAAGATGGTACTCTTTGACATACCATCAATGATTACGTCCTTCCTTGGTTTTGGCGTCTGAGCCGGAACCGTTACAGCATTCAACTTGTTAAATGCATGCACTATCCGCCACCCTCCTGTTGCTTTTCGCACACTGAAGGTCGAAGAGCTATGTGGGGAAGTTGATTCCCTCACATGGCCCGCAGCTAAACGATCGGCAAAGAACTTGTCGATCGCAAGTACTTGTTCACGAGGCAGTGGCCACTGCTTCATGACACAGTACTTCGAGCCTGGTTTAAGCTCGACCTCGTGTCGAATACCTTTATCCTTCGGTAATTCGCACGGAACAGTTTCAGGGAATACATCCTTAAATTCAACCAAATCTTCATAGAGAGGATTTGTCTTGAGCGATTCCCACGATTGGGAGTCATATCGCTCAACTCGTGTCTTTTCATCGAGGACACTCTCGTCCATTGATGAACTACTGAGAACTCTCTCGTTCTCAGTAAACACTGTTGCTGACCTTATGTCGGCTACACACTCGTCGTCAGCGACGAGTACGCAGATCTGCTTGACTTTGCCACTACGCAGATCACGCAAGAACCTTTTATGTTCGATCGTTGGTAACTGAGTGATCTCCGAAGTCAACTTCGGAGGCGCAATTAGATCAAGTGTATAAGCGCCTACGCTTGATTCGTTATTGACTAGTTCATTCAATGTCTCTGTCATTTCCTGGGGACTTATTCCCTCAGGCCTCGAAGGACTTATTCCTTCGGCTTCCCGGGGACTTATTCCCCCGGGTTTCGGGGAACTTATTTCCGCCGTATCTGTAATATCGGGACTTATTCCATTTACTTCCTCTAGCTGTGGTTGCGCAACCACAGCGAGATCCTCTACGAAAGACTCTCCAGTCGATCTAGGATTATCGTTTCGCTTAACCTGAGCGATCGATCGTTTCTCTTCTTGATGTTCCCCGCTAGGGATACATCTCTTTCCCGGTCCACTCGACTTATTCGAGTGGTGGACCTTCGGCGCAGCCTGTGTTTCCTCACAGCCGCCGGAATCTAGCTCCGAAGTGTAACCGTTTGGTACACTAAGGTTTTGTGCAGTCGTACTAACGACCGTACCACAAGTGAGGCCATCGCACTCACCCGTAGTACATCCACACGCTTGTGGACGCTCCAAAACGTTCATCAGATGGCCATCTGATGAACAAGCGGCAGGCATCGTTACTGTTCGATGTTGCCAGTTTACCCGTGGTTCGTACCTTCTGAGCCACGGTATTCCAAGGATGACATCAAATTTGTCATCCAAATCCAATGCGATAAAGTCATCGTCATATTGGGTATCTTCTAGCGTATAGTGGATCTTCACTGTACGCTTCATGACGGTTACGGATGCGCCTGTCGCAAGACGTACCGTCATCCTCGTAGGAGGTGTGTCACATTCACTGAATTTAAAGTGACCATCTTCTAGCGATTGGCGTCGCACAAAATTGTTGGACGCCCCACAATCGACTAGAGCTCGAAGGGACAACTTATTCGTCACTTCGAGTTTCAAGGTAATGAGTGAGATCTCATTACCTAGAGCAGCAACGCACAACGTTTTTGTGTTGGGAGAAACCTTCATCAAGAGGCCTACAAATTCTCTTGACGTTGCTAGACCAGTAGGGTGCTCCGCACCTACTGATCCTGTCTGTTTTTTGACGGTCCATCCCGTTGTTGCGTCTCTGCACCAACAGCGGACCCTCGTCCCTGCCCTTTACTCATGGGTGGACGGTCATTACGCCCAGTGTTGCGAGACACTGGACGAGGAGCACTACACTCGTAAGCGTAGTGCCCTGTCTTTTGACATCTGTTGCATTTCTGCAACTTCTTGTAGTCAGTAGAGCGAGCCTTCTCGCTCTCTACATAACAGAGTTCAATCGGCTCTGGACCTCTGTTGTCATATCGTCTAGTATGCCGATATGAAGTCGAGCTGGCGCGAGCCTGTCTCAGACTGAAGTCTTCCTGTTCCGCAATGGAAATGGCTTGTTCTAGTGAATCTAGTTCAAGTCGGAACAGGTGAGTCTTGACGGGACCATCCACAAGACTCTGCATGAACACCGAAACCAACGTGTGTCCATCAACCGGGTTGGAACTTATGCAACTCGTGAGATGTCGTACATGTTGTGCGTAAGCGTGCACATCACGCTTACCTTGTTTGAGCTTCAAGAGTTCGGTTCGAGCTTTGAACTCCGCTCCAGGCGGTTCAAACGTTTGTCTGAGCCGTGACTTGAAGACTTCCAACGACCATAACGCATATGTGTCGTGCAACTTGAGCCCCAAAGCCCAAGTCTTGGCACGTCCTGCCAGATTTGATTGTGCACATGCAACTTGCATATCCCCGTCGTCGATGCGACGCGCCCTTATGGCGTCGTCTAATTTGACAAACCATCTCAAGAGGGAGTCCTCTTCGACTCCCCTATACTTGGAGATGTCAATCTTCAAGGTTTCGGGTCGACGCGAGTGCATCGACCCACCAGCAGCAGCCTGCTGCTGTCTCGACAGTTCAAACTGTTGAGCACCCTGTTCTCTCAACAACTCTGCTTGTTGAGAACCTTGTTGGTGAAGCAAGGCTACTTTCTCGCGTTCTGCGTCAAGTTCATTTTGAATGAACTTGGCGATAGTAGCATGTTGGGCATCTCTGTTGAGAGCCCCTAGCATGACGCTAACAGCATGGATGCCCATGGTTGAACCCATCCGTTCAACCGCATCCCATTCGACATCGCTCAAATGGGAGTAGCTGTCACGCGTAGCGTGAAAGCTTTGATCATCTTTTTCATCCAACATATCCATGTTAGATGTGAACGTGGTCCTTGGACGGTTTACGAAGTGCTACCAGGTGTAACGGGGCACCCTGAAGCTTGTACTGGTGACAGTACAAGCTACTTATTCTGATGACAGAATAAGGCGGTGCCTCGTAACTTCACATACACTCGTACGTGCAGAGGAAGACGGTAAGAAGAAGCGAGTACTTGGTTAGAGTAAAAAGTAGAACCGTATTTATAACAGTTAATGTCTGCAATAAATCACTGTTTATCCTCATCTAACTATGTCTAAATACAAATGTGTAAATCAGTTATCTGCTCACCACTCATTGCGTGCGTCTGTCGTGGCGCGTCTTCGTTGGTTGATATAACGGCCCATACCAACCACTTAGGAACTACTCGTAAGTGCTACAGAATATTTGTCCTTATGACAATATTCTGAGAATATAACTCTTGTAGTTATATTCAATTATCAATTTCTTATAAATTGTTATGTAACGGTTCACCCCGTTACATACTGCATCTTCCGGGGCGAAAAAGCTGAGTTGCTACACCACAAGGTCGGACAGAGATGCCCAAATACTCCAGTCTATTATCCTCTTATCGCCTCGTGTCATGGAGCTCGTGAGACCATTTGGACAAGCACCACCCTTCGGCACTCATAGCATGACTTCCATCGCGACTTGCCATGGAACGATCACAACGGGCACCCTTTGGAAAATCCGCGCAAACTTCGAGGTGTCAGGATGCGACGTCGGCGTCACCGAGACACTCCATGAACAGCTCGTGAACAGTTATTCTATATGCCAAGCTGATGCTAACCACCTGACTCGTGCCCGTCGTTGTTCTACGCAGTCTTTTCACCTGCGCGCAACAGAATGCAGCTCGCTCTACAACAATACCGAGAAAGAGTACATTAGTTGGTAATGCAGTAAAGCGATGAAGCAGAGCGCCAGCTCCAGAGTACGGCGAGTACGCAGCTGCTTGCCTGGCCGTCCGACGATGGTGGCTGCGTTTGTCTCTTCGAATCTCGTAATAGAGAAGAGCGAAGTCAATCACACGTCGCGGTTGAAGTGTAAGAACACGGACTCTCGTGACCTCGTCGCTGCAAAAATGCGCGCTGCAGTGAGAGAATCCATGGACGCGGAGGTCGTAGATCCGTATTTTTTGACTTATAGAGCGTGCATCCCAATGCTACGATCCGTCCTCCTTACCGATCCATCCACCCACCAGGTTGTGACTATAGAAACAGTTTACTGTAGCGCATGACTTGAGCGCGTCCTCACCCGTGCAGAGACGTGTCAAAATAGTCAGTCAGTCCTCCGTACCATCTTTGCCGTCGTCATCCTTAGCATCCTTTGCATCTGGATCTTCCATAGCTTCGTCGTCCATGACGGTGTCACACGTCAACCTAGTCCTAAAAATCCCGACGATTGCCCGTGACTGTAGAGCTCTGTCCTCGACCGAAACGACAAACAAGTCCAATGGACTCGATCTGCTTACTCTTTACTGATGCACACATGGCGATGAAAACAGAGTGCATCATTGTATCGGGTGATCGATCATTTAGCTCACCAGTCTCCTTCCATGCCACTGCTGCAACATCGCACATTCAGCTAGAGCTGTGCCGTATTGTTGGTGGCGAGAACCGACATTTGGTGCTTAAAATTAGAGTCTGCCGATTTCCATGCAGGATTTAGGTCAGCGTCTGGAATTTTTCCACCTCTCCAGCAGTTGCAAGTCTACATGTCCACGAGTAGAATTCGGGCGGCACAGCAAACGCACATTTGCAGTCATGACAAGATTGCATCGCCGGGCTTGCTGTTGTTTTAAGAGATGAGACCTCTTCGATTCAAATTTCTAAACTACTCATTGAGACCCACACTGGCACTTTCATCCGGATAGCGCGCCGTAAGGAGATAAACTTTGTTTACGTTTTAGTGACATAGTGGCGGTATCTACAGCAAATCCGAGCGGCACTCTCAACCGGTGCAATGACGCTGTTTTTACCCAAGAGCAACAACCTCATCTTACGGTTAAACCGCACAAGACGATTCATGACCAATCCCTAGTGGGCAGCGATGTTTGCGCTCCATCAAGTCACGTCGATTGGAGCTGTCTAGGAGCGCAACCACTTTAGCCTTCTACTCTTTCCGTCGAGAAACCTTGGCAACTTGATAAGGCAGACAAACGTCCCGGTATAGTCCGGAAATGTGTCATGGAGCTGCTTACACAACCGATCAACGCGAGGGAAGAGGAAGAGCGAGTGCTTGCGTCGGGCAGAGAGCCGTTTAAGGTCAGAATGTGCAGTCATTTCCGTTGCGAGCAAGCTTTAATTTTCGTTGTCGCGTCTACGTGCACGCAACTGTGACGAGTGTCTGTGCAGCATGGAGGAATTGATGTTGCAGAAGGCATTGCCCAGAACCAGGGCAAGATATCATGAAGGCACTGCGCTGACATTTCACCATTCGTCATACCATACTGAAGATTTATAAAGAGAAAACTACATCATAGGGCGGGTTTGGTCTGCTCTTTTGACGACACTCTGCTTCTCAAATGAACCTTGCTGCGTCCACTACGGGGGAAAACAATCAGGTAATTTCTACCGATTCTCTAAAACGCGGATCATGAAAGAACCCTGGACCGGAAGATCACGCCTTTGTCGGTGTAAAGCTTCACATTTCAATACACCCTGCTTGTGTCATGTGCGTGGCAGGCATGGCAAAGGGCAATGCAGTAAAGCCGACAATCCTTTTTATGTTGAAGTCTTTTGCGCGATCTCTGTCAAAAAATGCAGGTGATTGCTCGCCAAATTATGCTATCGGGAACAACGGTCTAATGCTCTCACGGATCAGAAACTATTGCTGACCGCCACAGCCGGACTCGACGTCGACTTACCAAGAATCGAGAGCTCTGGCCGACGACGTGGCAATCTCCTGTTGTTGTCATTCCGACTTGAACTCCGTCCCGCAGACTCCACCCCGCGCATCTCGCACATCTCTCATTTAATGATCACCTTACTATACAAAAGGGCGAGGCTATTCTGTAATTTGAAGTTTGCTATTCCGTACTGCAAACACCGTCAAACATTTTACGAACAGCTGATTAGCTTAAAAGTCTAATTTAATTATATTGTGCTATGTATAGAAGGTCAGATGTGCGGAGATGAAAGAGCTTCCATTGACTGGATTTAATGCTGAGCCTTAGGGACGGGTTGAACATTCTCCTACTGGAAGATCACCAATGTCCAAATCTATCTCTGGAGCACCAAGTGTTGCTGACTCGTCTAGCTAAACCTGGCGTGGCGACAACTGCACCTGATAGTCTACTTAAGCTAGTGTTCCAGCACAAGCAAGATGCTACTTCCTGGATGCACTCTAATTGATCATGCAGAGATTCGAGTCAACGTACTTGCGAACACCATCGTAAAACTAGACTCGGTGTTGGCTCGCGCTTATCCTGACCATCATCTTCGGCCTCACGCCGACTACACAACGTACCGAGTGCTGAACTCATCCGTAGGTATCATTTATATGACAACACTGTATCAAGAATGTAACTGGGCACCCTTTGTTTGGGGTGCCGCGAACTTCACGTACACTAGTACGTGCAGAGGAAGCTATTTACTTGAACGACTCGATCAAGTAAGGTAAAAAGAGAACTGTATTTAATGTAGTCAAGCTATCAATAAAACGTTAGTATTTATCCAACTACTTTAAACTACGTCGTCGTATGACGACAACCTGCTCAACACTCAGTGCGCGCGTCTAGCAGCGATTGGTGGCAATCTACATTTGGTATGTCTTTATCAACAAATCTTGGAGCAGCGCATGAATATTATCCGAAAGGGGATAATGCTCCTTTAATATTAGCCATCATAGATAATATCGGTAGAATATTGTTATGCTAGACAAAATTCCTGTTGACACCGTTTAGTGTCAATTTCATGCAACGGGCTACCCCATAACATCACCCCCCCTAACCATCCATCACCCGTTGATTGAATTAGAATTGATTGGGACAGAGTGACCACCGTTGGATCACTCTGGGAAAGGGAGCACTTGCTGGTCAAATTCCATTCATTTGCCAATCCAACGCATGGTTTCCAAAAATCACTCGAGCTGCTACTGCAGCAGCAAGATGAGCGGCTGCACGCATGCGTGCAGTCGGAAAGAGTACTTCTCACGCCTCGGCAGCAGGTGATTCGTCATCCGTTGTTGTGAACAGTCCACGTGGTGAGTCACCGCGTGCGACAGGCACATCCGCTCCATCTGCAGCGGGTACCTCAAATCGTAATCAAGACGAGTCTGAAATCGAGCTCTTCTATTCTGGCGAGTTGGATGATGCATCCGACTCGAAGGCGACGCCTCACGCCTCGTGATCACCCGGAACGGACACTGCAAGATCCAGGCTGACTGGCTCTGGTCAGTGCGGCAGTATCATGCTCGAGATCTTCGGATCGAGTGATTATTCCGATGAGTTTCCGCCTCACACAAGTCCATCTAACGATAGGACGCGTGGAGATGGTGGTGATGCACCTATGCATTACCACGAGCAAAGAAACTCAAGGGATTGGGGTCACACTGGAGCCAGTGCTCATGTTGGCACCAATCAAGAGGCCAGGGATCGAAATGTTCTGCTCCACGCTCCTCAAGTGGCGTCTCCGAGGATACTGTCATCCAGAGAGTTGGACCGGTTGGCCGGCACGAATACCGACGGAACCGAATCCCGTTGTTTGACTCTAGGAAGATTTGCCCTCCTGATTCCAGCACGGAAACTATCCGTGCTGAGGGAGAATTCTTCGCCGATGCGCTCTTCAAGCATCGGTGGTACAATGGCAGCCTTGTACGAGACGGCAAAGCCTTGGTGCAGGGATGGAATGCCCTCATCCACAACATCGAGTGCATTGGCCGTGAGGCTTGGCTCGCCGAACTTGATGCAGCTCGCATCAGGTTTGAGAAACGTAACCCCGTTGGGGCGCGATACAAGTTGCACCGGCTTTCAAGAGAGGCAGGATTAACCTGTCTCTCGTGAGGTGATTCGTGTCTAGGTTGTCTGGACAATTCGAACCGTGCCCCTAGGGAGGCCTACCTCCCTAATGATCCCTACTGGAGGGCGCGCATTTCTTCCGAGATGGCCGAAGGAGTCGACGCTTTGCAATCCCTGTACTCGAGTTCGGGGAGGTCGTTTCCGACGGCCCTTCTTCAAGCGTAGCGGGTGGGTCCCGTCGTACTACTCGACGAGACCAAGTACATCAACAATCAATTGGGCACGAGAGTACCAGCTGTCCCACGCCGGTGGATAGCCACGCCAGCGGACGAGGTAACTCGTCCGGACGCCATTCACGTCGCGGTGGCTCAAAGTACGCTCCACTAGGAAGCGTTGACCACCGCTTGAGTCCACCAAAAGATGTGGCGGTGGGAACACCTGATCCGGCTCGAGGGTCGGATCAGCTTGCTGTTCAAGAGCTGAACCGTGTAACGGAACAGTTGCAAGATGACCTGGATCATGAACGTACTCGGCATTATGGGCTTGAGGGTCTTGCGAGAGATAAATACAATTCCTTAGCGCACGATTGTTCGAACGATCGTGCCGCTTTTGCGTTCGCGCAGCTTGAGAACGAACGTTCGACTCGTTCTCTTCGTGATGAGCTGGCTGTTGCTCGTTTAGACATCGCTGAGCTGCGTGAACAGGTCGCTTCGCTAGTCGACCAGACTGGATCGTCGAAACGGGACCACTCGAGGGTGATCTCGGCTCTCGACCGTGGAGGTGTTCTTCGCATCTCGAAACGGGCTCGTACTGATAGCACGGGCGGAGACGACCAACGTAAAACGTAGGATGTGTGCGCATCTTACGGGGCAGTTCAATCGTGTATGCGTTGCCCATTCGGCGCAACACACAAAATGGACCGATGTACTTGGGCAGTAATTTTCTGCTGCCCACGTTTTTCACTGCGTGTTTCGGTAGATTTACTGTAGATAGTAAAACTAGGTCTCCTTCATCAAATGAAAGCACATTTGATCTACCATATTTGTCCGCGCTTCTCTTCTGTTTGTCAAATGCATCTGCAATAGAGTCTTGAACGAAGCGGACAACCGCTTCGCGAGTCAGCAGAAATTCATCTGCTGATTCGTCCTTGTCAATAGCAGTGCGCTTCGTGCGCAGTGCTGAAAGAACGTCGTCTCACCAGTTAGGGCGTCATCTTCCTTACTGTGACAGTCATTGGCGATGCTAAATATACCAGCATCGTCGTCATCATCATCATCGATGTAGATCGCATCGACATCGGCATCCATCACGTCGACACCATTTTCGACAAGTGATGAGTAAGAACCAGATAGGTTATCAGTTAAAGCGAGTCCACCCCCCCTTAAACTAGAGTCGCACTATAA